TGACCTAGGGTGAATTTTAAATAGGGATAATTTTTAATGATTTTTAATAAGAGACACAGCTACAAATATTTGGTTTTTAATTGGCTTTTATTGGGGAAATGTGCTATGTTGTTTTAATATGCTGTGAGCCGCCCTGAGTCCCGTGGGGAGAAGGGCGGCATATAAGTCAATGTATTAAATTAAATTAAATTAAATTAAAAGAGCCAAGGTTGCCTACCCCTATCCTAGACGGGAAGTTTGACTTTTAGACAAATCAGCCATCAATAGACTCATAGAGATATACCACATTTATACACCATTTAAAAGAGACAATAAAAACATTAAGAAGGAAGCAAAAAGTCCTGAACAGACCCTTTCAGGCAGCCAAAATCCAGATAAGTAAGGCCCAGATAATTCCAGGCAAACAATCAAGCAGAAAACAATACCCTCTTCATGGAAATACCAAGGAGAAAAACCCCACACCCACCAACACTGGGCTATTGCATAGAAACAGGGAACCTACCCCACAATCACTAGCACTGATGTCGTTACCTAGTTGGGCAAGTAAATAACTAAACTCACAGAGCACAAAGGATTCTACAATAATAGCTATTTAAAGTCTGCTGCTCCAAGGTTACTAGCCATTCCTGGTAATATGCAGAGTTAGTGGATGAGATAAAATTTAGGAGTGGCAAAACTCTTAGCTGCAGACAATACTCCGGTTAGATCTGGAGTATATCTCTATGCATTAAAAGCCACAATTAAAAATAAATCAATGAAAGCGCGAATACGGGCATCAGAATCATATACACCACACCATTGGTATAACACAGGCCAACCTCAGGGTTGAAATACAGGCAGCTGCTTTATTTTCTATGATGTCAAATTAAGGGCAAATTTTCTGAATATTTTTAAAACTTGGCAGTTGGCATAGAAGAATCTGTGGGTCATCTATGCCTGCTGCCATTCTTATGTGTGCAGCACCCTATCGAGTTCATTCTCTCTCTTTTTTCTAGCAAAGAAAATGCAGCTTCATATTGTCCTTGCCAGTGGAAGTAACAGGATGATGATCTCCACCCTTTTATTGCTCTTCTCCATTGTGTGGAAGGGACCAGCCTTGTTTAATTATCCCCTTCAACGGGAGAGCTCAAACATTGCCAGGACTTGCAGTGAGGTCACAATGAGTTTCCACCCACTGTTCTGGAAGGGAGACATGAATCTTCTGGCTTGCTTTCTGCCAGCAAGGGGTTCCAAATCACTGTGGCAAATTGACATTTCCTTTCCCTTCACATCTCCATTTGTGTGTAAATCCTGTGCATTGCTTGTGTGTTATCTTCTGAATGAATCTGTATTTGAAGGAGGTGATGTTTGGGTGTACATATTCAAAAGCAAATGTTCACATCAACCCTCCTATGCAAGTCTCCAAAGGACTAATCTAGAACCCAATGGATCTTCAGATCTGAAAAGATTATCAAAAGCTACTCTATGGAGCAAGATGCCATCACCAACAATTCTCTCAATCTGAAAGGATGGCTATGACTGAAGTTAAACCCATTAAGTTTTCAGACTTTCACTTTCTTCTCAGTTGCATTTATTCCTTCAAATTTCTAATTATTTTATTTAGAGTAATTGAGAAGGCTTATATTTCTAAACAGTAGATACGATCCACAGCCTTTTATGTTTTAAGAGATTCAGCAGTAACCAATCCAGTCTCAACTCAGCATGTACTTACCATCATGCCATACAGTGGAAGCTGCCCATGAACTTTGAACTGATTCGATGCTGTTAGACCCCGACTTGTGTACAGCAAGATATCATTGAACTGAAACATAACAGGCAAGAATATAGTCAGAACAGAGGAGACAGGGAACCCCCAAATACCTCTAATATTCTGTATGTGACCTAATATACATGGGATCATTGGTGTTTGCAGCCCTGTTGTCATTTAGATCTAATAAACAAGTTATGTTATTTGCAAGATAACATGCATGAATTTGGGACTGTTATCCTAGTATATTTACTTTAACCCAGAGGATCAATCATATGAACTAGCCCTTAAGAACATGGGAGAAAACCATATCCATCCAAATATTATTTTGAGAATGTTTCCATCTAGTACCTATAATAATACAATAGTTTCCCATTTTCTTCCAAAACTATTTAAAGCACACACAAACACTTATCTTCACCATCATTCACTAGGGATGCAAGAGCTTTTCCTCAAAAGAAGTGTAATATATGCTGGTATTTTAGAAGCTAGCTTTGTTTCCTTGAGACAAAACATGCAGATCCTTCTTCTGTATGGGAGATTTAAGTTGAATGACAAAGAATTATCTCATATTGTAAGCTTTTAATAGAGTCAGGATTTAGTGGCCAAATTCAGACAGTGCCTGGTTTGGCTCTTGGGAAGATTCAACTCATTCTCCTACTTTCTACACTGTATTTACATTTCTTCTCTATGTAGAACAAATACTTTCATGTTATATTCCAAATAGCTGACTTCTGATCAGGTCATGGTAAACCTATTAAGGCATTTTTCTTTGCTGTGTGATAACACTTTGTGCTTTATACGTCAAGTTTGTCCTGTAAGTTAGCTAATAAAAAACCCCTATGATCCACAGACTGTCTAGCCCAGAGGTCTCCAACTCCCAGGCCGTGATCCACTCCTGGGCCATGGCCTATTTGCAACCGGGCCATGTGAGCCGTGAGCCTGTATGCATATAAAGACGCAGCTCGACTTATCCGCGTGCTGGCCCACCACTTGCACGACTTGGTTCCCCTCCCCCCCTCCCCCCACTGGGCCAAGCTGCAAAGGTGGAGGACCAGTGAGCTAGCCTAAATTGCCAAAATAAAGTTTATCACAGCACTGTGTGCAGCGTAATGCAGACCTACATATCCTACTTCAAAACACTTTTAAGATAGTGGTCCAAGTCAAAGTCTCTCACAGTGCAGGCCTTGCTTAGCTAGATGCCAGGCTGTCTTAAATAAGATAGTGGGGGGAGGGAGAGCAGCGGGGTGGATGAATTGGGGGGGGGAGAAGAAGAAAGGAAAGCAAAAGCCTGTGCATTGTTCCCATGGAAGCTGTAGCCTGTTCGAAGGTCACCCAATGGAACACAACACCTTCAAACCCACACAGCTGGGAACTATTACCAAATCAATTTATTTGAAAGTGATTGGTCACTCAATGATAAGGGGAGAGGGGGATGAATCCCAGGGGAAAGGTTTACTACTTGGTTTGGGCTCCAAAAGTTAGATTTGGCTTTGTAACCATTTGGCCTCAATAAAGTATACTTTTTACTGCTACGGCTGTGAGAGTCTTTTTGATTGACCAAGTTGGGACAGCTGACAGTTTCTCTGTTAAATTAATCCAGGATGCATCATTTTCTGAAATCTATATATTGGCTTGCATTTATTTCATAATTCTCAGGAAGAGCAGAAAAAAATGCAGACTGTGTGAATGTAGATTTTGATTTCTTAAGAATCGCTTTATATTTATTCCCATCTATTGTTGGTTTATTTAACATTTGGCTGAGCTTCTTTTCATCGTGGAGAACAGAAAGCTGCAGATCTCTTCTCAGATTACTCCACAATTTGCATCTTACTGCTCCTGTGAATTTCCTCCTCCTTCTTTTCCCTTGGCATTTGTGGCACGATTGTGTTTAATTGCACACATTCTAAGCAGTTCCTGCCACTTACCAAGAAGAACATCCGCTGCTGTAAGCCTTTTCCAGACAGTTTGCTGAGACTACCCAGCCTAATAAATTCCTGTGGAGGAACAGACACAAAATAGAAAACATCAAACCTCAGGCTGAACGTTGGCATGGGTGGTAATTAATAAGGCTGGCAGCATTTGAGATTCAGTTCCCAAAAAAAGTGCTATGGAAGACACAGAGTACAGCACTTATGCCTTTTCCAAAAACCCTGCAGCTGTCCTGTGGTCCTGGAAAAAGACGCATGCTTTAAAGCGTTTTAGATGGGATTTTTGTTTGTTTGTGCCCCCTTGTGTTCCCAAGTATATTTCTGGAAATTTATTGATTCATTGATTGATTTTGGAAAATTTATATAGCTATCTACTCTCTCATGACGACTTTAGGTGGCTTACAGAAAATAAAAACACAATGTAGAAGAAATAAAAATAATAAAATAATAATAAAATAATAACCCCCACCCTCCCTTGGGGACAACACACACTCATATCAGCCATTTAATGGGCTCCATCCCACTCTGGGTTCCCCAGTCCTGCTGGTAAAACCACCTCTTCAGGACCTTCCTAAAGAGGGTCAGAGTGGGGGCCAGTCTAATTTCTGGAGGGATGATGTTCCAGAGGGAGGGAGCCACTATGGAGAAGGCCCTTCTTCTGGGTCCTGCAGGGTCTGCAACATTCCATGCCTTTCCACGCTAATGGGTAGGGAAATGAATATAAATATAAATCTTTCCCAGTTCCATTCATTAATGCTGTATTATTGAATTAATGATATGATGCCATTGAGGAGAGATATGTAAGTGAAAAGTACCTTATGTATAATGAATAAAAAATGACAGCCATTGGCATGCAGTAAACAAGAGTATTAGATTTTCATTGACGCCACACAGCCATAATAGGGCATTAAAGGAAAAGTAATGGAAAATATCAGGGAATGAAAGCAGTAAATGGAATTGCCAACTCTTCACTCATGCATTGGGGATGAAAGGAAACTCTAGAAGACAGTACAGTATGCAATTAAAACAATACAGGAGATGATAATAAGCAATAAAGAGAAATCAAGACTGAGTTACTACAACTCTACGACTTCTAAAAAGTAGACCAGGATATATTCAAATATAATAGTTTAACTATTACTGCTACTTTACTACCACTATGACGACAAATGAAGCTAGTTTTGCCGTCAGTGCTGGCAAAGAATAAATAAGAGATGTAGAGCAATACAACCAAAGGAGAAGAGTTGGAAAAGACCACTTATTTTACCCTATTTTTAGTGTTAAGAGTACAAAATACATTTGAGAGCATTTTTATGAGATTGAATAAATAGACTTTTTTCTTTTGGATTTAGCTATAGAAATTTAAGTGGCTTGGACTGATTCCAGGAGCTAGTCAGGGAAAATTCATCCAGGTTGATGTTAATAGAGCTTTCAGTGAGTTTTGATACTGTTGGAGAAGAGTGTCGTTCTGTTTTATTCTTCCTATCTGCTGAAATTGTACTTATATGATTTGATCTCCCTTGTCCACTAGCTTAGGGGTTCTCTCAGGATTCTAGCCTTTTCCTAGGGGTGGTCACCTGGGGTGTGGGGTGTGGATCACAAAGCATGACTGAAAAGAAAAAGCTACTTCTTTTTGTCAGGTATCAAGGAAATTGGAAAAAAATATCTTGTATCAGTTTTGGATAGAAAAATAAATGGAAAGTAGGCAGATAATGTGAAGTTAATCTGAAGAAGACAGTTACTATTAGCCAACAGAAACATTAATGAGAAAATGATCTGTCATCTGTTCTGGACATGCTGACCTTAAGCACAAGTTCAGTTGATGGATTTTCTAAATTAAAAATTTAGATTCTAGAGAAAGCATATCTCATCCTGACAAGAATCCTGCAATTGCTCGTTTTTTCAGCCAAATATTTTATTCCAAATACTGTGGGGATACGTACTCTTTCTGGAGTCACTAGATTGTCCATAGCTATTAAGTCCTTTTTCAGTTCATGCAGTTTCTGGAAGTTTTCCATTTTTAGCATACTGCTATGGAGCTGGGCCACCATCTCTGAAATTTCTGCCAGAGCAGCTGTGAAAGAGGGAAAAACAACAAACAAAGTAATTATGCCATCAAGTAGAGCTACTCTATTAAAAATCTGAAGAACAATAGAAAACACATGCAATGTTTATTGTTTTGTTAACAATCAAACAGAATCTATATCCACAAGACTTCCAGTTTCAAGTCGAATCTGCCCCCTCAAAATATTTCTGAATTTCACTTGGAGATGATGGGTTTCCATGGATGTTTGCTGTATAATTGAGTATAAATTATTTAACAGACTTAACTGATTTGGCCCGTAAAACAATGTGATTTTTTATTTAAAAAATCTCATTTTTATAGCCTGCACTTAAGAAATAGGCTTGATCAGGGCATCATTGCCCTTTGAAGCCAAGGCATAATGTATCTGTATTCAAGAACAAATTACTAGACATACTTACCACCTTTATGCATTTATCAAGATTCTTCCAATCATGCACATACATCTGAAAGCAAATCTACTCTGATTAACCTGACTCTGCCTGCCCTTTTTTGTGAAATTGCTAATCTCAAGGAATTTCTTTCCAGGCTCATTTACTGTCTGACTCTGCCTGATGTAGCCTAGCTAGAGCTAGGCTTTGCCTTCCGTCCCTTCATGTGTGGTTGTTATGATTATTTAGTTAAATTTATAATGCTGCCAAACTGAAAAGACTCAGAACTTGCAACTAAAACTCAACAGAAACAATAAAGCAAAGGCAAAACACCAAACAATATCATGGGAAGTTGGTCTTAATTCCCTGTAACGAATCTTCTTTCTGTTAAAGATACAAGATACTCATTGTTACTCAGCTTAGATTCCTGCTCTCCAAGTAAACAGTCAAGTCACTTCCTCCAAAATTTAAAATTAAGAGAATTGCTACAGGAAGAGTTCACGCATTTACCTCTGGAGTCCCTGAAGTCCCCATGATTGGGTGGATAATGTTTGCAGAGCCTTTCCATTATCTGCTTGTAGTGCATCAGTCTATGCAGTGGCCTGAGAAGGAAGATATTGAGGGGAAGGTAGCAGACTTTCTGCATCTCAAAGTCTCTGCATAAGGCCTCGAGCCTGCGAGAGTTCTTGATTCCATTTTCCAGTTCTAGCAGTATTTTGCTATGCTTTCGCAAATGAACGGTTAGTTGCTAGAGGAGACAGAAAGAGAGAGAAAAGAGGATAAGTCCATGTAGGAAAGAATTCTTTATTTAGGTTTATTTTCACATAATATCTGCTCTGATGCAATTTTTGGTTAAAAAAAACACAACACAATAAAAGCCACACTGTAATACAATATGACAATGAATCGAGCATAGAAGAGATGAGAGTAATTTCCAAGTAGGTATCAGAAGTCTGAGAAGAGCCTTGTCCACTATTGAAACAAGGTGGGATAAAAGGCTAGGCATGCCTTCACAGGGGGATTCTAGAAGTGTGTGTGTGGGAGCACAACTGAGAAGGATCTAACTTCGCTTGCCCCTTCAATGTAACTCCAAAGTGCAGTCCCTGGAGCTATACTATCAACTATGGTTGAGATGACTGGCAAAGTCCAGTTTTAAGATGCAAAAAGAGTGGCACCCTGTTGATTTTCTAACAAAGAGTTCCCAGGATACACAGAAGGGCAACCAATTCACAGAAATGATCTAGACCAGGGGTGTCAAACTGCTGGCCCGCGGGCCAGACACGTCACAAGGAAACCGTGCTCACCCCATTGCTGGCAATGGGGAAAAAGCTCCGATACATCGAGCGACATCACATGACGTCTCGAGTTTGACATGTCTGATCTAGACCTAGAATCTTTTACAGAATTTCTCCCTCACCTGAGTTCTTAACATATTATTGGAATCAAAATCCCATCGGTCACAGACAAGTAATCAGTGGCCAGGAACCATGATTATTATAATCCAACCATATTAAGAGAGCCACAAATTTTCTACTCTTGCTCTATGAGTCTTCTTTTCACACACTCTTTATTTATTTATTTATTTATTTAATTTAATTTATATGCCGCCCTTCTCCCGGCGGGACTCAGGGCGGCGCACAACATATTTAAAACCAAAGCATATATACAATTCCCCCCTTAAAACCGAATTAAACCAAATTTAAAGTTGTGTCTTCCAAATTCCTAAAAAACCCAGTATAAAATCCACCCTAGGTCAGGTCCGCTTGCTGAAAGAGCCATGTCTTGAGGGCGCGACGGAAGGTAAGGAGATCCGGAATTATCCGAATCTTGAAGTCAGGTTGCTTTAAAAATGTGATGGCCACCATAAAGAGCAGAATCAGTCTAAGGGCAGCTTCTTCCCAGTACAATGCTCCATCCCCAACAAGCTTAATACAATTTGACTGAGTTTGGCTTAATTTTCTGTGGGAACTCAACCACTATGTTTTTATTCATTTGAACAATGCAATATATGGACCCAGCTACCATAGGATCACCAAGCACAGCTAACAGTAGGAAGGCCTTGGGGAGATGGTGTGTAGGAAAAAGGCAGTCAGTGCTTGTGTTGGATCATGAATCAGTCTGGAACACAACAGAATTAAACAAGGCTTTCACACAGACAGATTTGTTATCTCTTCAGACCAAATGTTCAGAAATACATTGATTTCTTTTAATTTCAGTGAGCAAATAGAGCAGAAGCTCATGCATGATTATCATTCCAAGAAAAAGTTAGCACATAAACACCTCTAGTTCATACCTTCATATTCTGAATATTCTTTAGCATAACATCTCCAATTTTTTGGAAATCTCCTTTCAAGTGGGCATTAGAACGGCCTTCCCTGCCAAAAATAGAATTATCCATATCAGTCAAGCCTTAGAAAATCATCTATGTAATGAACAGAACAGAGATAGTAAATAATAGGCAATGCTGGAAGCAGGGAATTCATGGGAAATGGGGTCAAAAAAAAGTCAAGATGGCAATTGCAACGGTATATCTAAAACCTGACCCCCTCTTTTGACAAGTGTCTGGAAGTAGCAGATACCACCAAAATGGGCTGTCACTTGTGATGAAATGAAGAAGAAAAAGAGAGTAAAAAGCCTAGAAAATAAAGATTCTCATAGCATTCACACGTTTAATAACTGATTTTAACATCTGGACCATAATAATCTTGAAGTAGTAAAGAACCACAACTGATTAAACCCATCCCCCTCAACTCATGCATATAAAGTCACACAAATCAGTTTGTTTCCCAAGTCAGAGTTGCTCAGGAAATAAAAGTTCCATTCCTCCTGCCAAACAGTCTTCTGAAGAAGGACCAATGTCTGAAGAAGAAGAGAGAACTTCCTTTTCTTGTTCCTTCTACCTTACAGTCCTTCCACATGCAACTCAATGGCAAGTAATAGAGAGAAAACTTTTAGGTTGGACAAAATTAACTCTTTACTTGCATACGGATCCAAATAATGAAGAAGATGTAGATATGTCTTCTAATTTTAGAGGATTCTTTGAAAGCTAGCACTTTTTTGAGACACCCTGAACAATATTTGTACTATGTTATAATTACTGACTCAGGTAAATAAATGTTCTAGCCCCAAGGCCAGGCCCTAATTTTGTTAACAGCAGGTGGCAGCATGAAACTGTTGATGGCTGATTTTGAAAAAGCGAAGTAGGGTTGGACATAGAAAGTGCTGAAATGGGCAACTTTTAGGAAATCCCAGGGATGCAAGTTAGACTGCGGACTTTTTTTAAAAAAATCCCAAAGACAGGCAATAGTAAGTAATTTATGTATTATTGCCGAGAATACTAGATAAATATGTTCATGGGGTAACCAAGAACTGAACATGACTTGAGGGATATTTTCTTTAAGAATCCCAAGAATGAGTTTAAATCCTGTGGATCCAAAATATCTCCAACTATAGTGTGCAGAACATTTCCAAAAACAGCTCCATGGACCTCAGAGCATTTTGTATTAGAGTCTTTTTAAAATGACCTTTTGCACCAACTGCATTAAGGTCTCCAAACTCTTGAAATTCTAGAATAGAATAGAATAGAATAGAATAGAATAGAATAGAATAGAATAGAATAGAATAGAATTCTTTATTGGCCAAGTGTGAATGGACACACTAGGAATTTGTCTCCAGTGCATAAGTTCTCAGTGTACATAGAAACAGCAAGTAATAGGTCATAAGTTATAAATCATAGTTACAATCATTAATCATAAGATACAAACAACAAATGATAAATCATAAGATACCAATAGGAGAAGATAGTAGGAAAGATGAGAAGATGAGAAAATAGAAGATGAGAAAGATGAGAAGGATAATTAGTAATACAGCCTACTACATGGGTAAATATCTTTAATCCTTAACATAGTACTGTGGGAGTTAGGTGTTGGCAGAGTGATGGCATGGGGGAAAGAACTATCTTTGTGTCTAGTTGTTTTGACATGCAATGCCCTATAGCAACATCCTGAGGGAAGAAGTTGAAACAATTTTAAATGTCCAGGAAGTGAGGGGTCTGTAGATATTTTCTCAGCCTCTTTCTAGTTCATGCAGTATACAGATCCTCAATGAAAGGCAGGCTGAGTGCGATTGTTTTTTCTGCAGTCCTATCTGTTGAAGTCTGTTCCTGTCCTGTTTGGTTGCTATGCCAAACCAGAGAGTTATAGAGGTACAAATGACAGACTCAATAATACCTCTGTAGAACTGTATCAGCAAATCGTTGGGCAATCTGAGCTTCCTGAATTGACACAGGAAGAACATTATTTTTTGTACAGTTTTAATGATGGTTCGAATCAATTGCAAAAGGCAGCTTTCATCCTGCAAGGATAGCTTTAACACCATCAAACAACAACATCTGCTATCTCAGGTCCTTATATATATATTAGGCACTTTGGGTGCTTTACAACTGTTAAAACATTTAAAAACAAATAATAATACAAGTAACACAAAACAAAGATGACAGAGAACATAAACCCAGATGGGAACAAGGAGAACAAAGAAAAGGGGCACCAATCATTCCCACCAAAGGCCTGGGTGAAGAGCCACATCTTCAGGGCCCTTCAAAATACTAGTCGGGGGGGGATTGTTCAAACTTCAGAGGGAACCTCATTCCGGAAGTCCTGATTTTCTCACCTCTTTTGATTGATTTCCCAAAAAAATTCATTATCTAACCAGAGTAAAAACCAGAATGATCTTTTAAACCACCCATGGCAATAATGACCTCTTCCACTAATACTTTACTTTTCCTCACAGTGAGCAGACTTTACCTCAGAATGGGCATGGGAGGTACAGATGCTTTACTTTTGTAGTGTAAATGATTGTCTGAATTTGCATGGCTACAATAGAGTTTGAGAATTAAAGTTACAACCAAGATGTCTACATTAATGGAATTTAACATAATTAAAACTTGATCTAAAATTATTTTCAGTTAATTCAGTGGCATTAAAATTTCTGGAATATTTGAAATATATTCTCAAATAGTTCAAATTTTCATTTAAGAATCCAGCTATGTACTAAGAAAAATTAATCTCACTTCCAATTAAAGATTCAAAGGAACAAACTTCTATCTTAAACTGCACACATAAACAAAAGCATACAAGCACACACACCAAAGTCATAATTGTCCAAAAGAGCATAGTGATTGGGGATTCAAAGAGATGATTGACAGGATGTGCTACTCATTGTTGATTTACTCATTTTTATACAACTGGAGGTTCTATATCTGCATTACTTAAGATACAGAATTTTAAAAATTGAAGCTCTATTTCTTCATGAAGAAATATCTTTGTGTAAAATGTCCTCACTAATACTTGCAATCTATTTTCCATCTGTAAAAATACAAAGGGGAAAAATATTTCATCCATTTAAGCTAGTTTACCAAAGACGTTTTCAAATTTTATTAAATAAGTGATGGTGGCTTAAGCATGCATTAATTAATTAATGTTCATTTTAAGAAGATCAAAGCAATCAAACATGTCGTGTGTAGAGTTTATAATTCTATTCCAAAATGCACTTGTAATGAATATTCGCAAACCTGGGGGAGCAGAACACATTTCACTGATTAAAATGTCTGTCTAGACAACCAAAACAACTGCACAGAAAGACATTCATTTGGGTGAAGGCTTCACTGTAATGAAACATGAGATTGGATTCATTTCCACTTGTAAACATCTGAAGGAGCAACAACTCGACCACTTGGGAAATATCCTTTGCAAAGAAAAGCAATGATTCCCTGAAAACTGATTGCCCTCACTTATATTTTCTCTTTTAGTCTATCATTCTTTCTCCCAGGGATACATCGTACAATGTAAAAAGAGACAGGTTTTCAAACTAACATACACATTGTAAAATAATAATAATTTACTGTGATTTTCTAAAGATAAAGCATTTTTCCATGTCAAAGACCACATTTAAATCCAATCTTTATGATTCCATAATTGAGAAACAAAACTTGAATTTCCTTCCTGTTGCCAAGGCTTTTTGTTAACTTCTGTGAAAGAAAGAAAGAAAGAAAGAAAGAAAGAAAGAAAGAAAGAAAGAAAGAAAGATCCTACTTAGAAAATAACAAGAAATAACTCTACACAGGAACAGTAAATTTGAATAGAGCTGATTTTTAATATTCTTTGCTGATACACTACCAAGCACAGAAAAATATCCTTGTGAAATAACCCTAGTTTTGCTGTGAATATACTTCTGTATATATTCACATATAACCAGGGGTAGTTTATTGCATATAGCAGATGGAATCTTTTGAATCTATGAAAAACTACTCCACAACTCCACTCTACTGTATCTCCCAAATACTGTCATCTAGATCTTTAATGCTAATGGGATTATACTGAAAGAGTAGCAGGACACAAATACTTTGCTTTTTTTTTTTTTTTTTGCAAATATGAACTATCGCTTCACTGAAATCAGTAAGCCGGCTAACTTGGTTTCAACAATGAGAGTAGTCAATCTTTGGATAAATAAAACTGAACAGTTGGAGGAACATGTTGCAATATTTACTCAACTGCATACTGGAAGATAATAATGCTTGACTCTAGTATAAGTGGGCTGCTAGCAAGACATTGATGCCTGATCTGCATACATTTGAGATTGCAATTAAACAAGAAAAATAGGAGATTTAAGCATATCTTCAGAGAAATATAAAATATCTCAAATTTTATAAAATATGAGATCATAGAAAGTCAATGTGATGTACAGGTAGTACATACAGTACAGTTCTCATTTAGCAATTGCCATGTTTAGCAACCATTCTCAGTTACACCAGTGATTAAAAAAATAACTTTACAACAAATACTCGCACTTACAACCTTTGCAGATCTGTAAAGCAAAGAAAAACTGAAGGAAATTATATGCCACAGTGGTGGGCATACTTAACAACTGTTTCACTTAATGACCAAATTGTTGGTCCCAATTATTGCCAGTCCCAAGTTGCTGGCTCCTTCATGAAAATATTTAATATTGAAATAAGAGACAGTAAGTCTGGGCTAATTCTAATGCTGGAAAACAAACATACAAGTATGCACTAGGGTGGGGGAGGGGCTTCTGCAAAGAAATGGGTCAGTTTATTTTCTCCCTTATAATCTTCTTTCCCACAGATCTCATGCTACATACCATCATTTGGGTATAATTTTTGTACTCTGTTTAGCAATGAGCTAGGTTTTTCCCCAATTCACAATTAAATTCATATGTTTATGAGAATTCTATACTTCTCTAATTTTACCTTTTGAACCAATAATTGAACTAGTAATATCACCAGGCCAAATGTTTGTTTGTGTATATATATGTGTATATATAAATAAATAAAAGAAACTGAACAAACCTGCTCATATTC